AAAGTTGTGACACATGAATGTAATAGATTGTTACTATGTTGTACAAAACAATGAATACAATAAATGCAAAGAATCATGGAAAGACATATGAATTAATGCAGAATGAAGTAAGCAGACCCATGCACACATATACATAATGAGTATGACAATGAGAATGGAAAGAAGAACAAAAAAATTCAAAACTGAGTGCTATGAAATTAAAATGATCAAGTTGAGCCCCAAAGAAGAACTACAAGGATGCACATCCCTCCCTTTTTTTCCAGAGGGAGGGGACAATAGGTGTGAAACACTAACTAGAATATGACTTGATTAGTTTTTCTGAACTATTTTTTCCTTTCTTTTGTATTCTTTTTTTTTTTTAATGAGGAATGGCTCTCTGGGAGACAAGGGGGAGAGGAATACATTGGGAAGTATCAGTAATGTAAGAATAAAAGATATCAATAAAAACTCACTTAAAACCCAGATGCACAAGCACAGGGTGAGAGGAGCAGGTTTAATAGTTCATTAGAAAAAGAAAACAAGACAAAAAAAAAGTTGAATACAAATTCAATATGAACCAAAGGTGTGACAGCTGCTAAATAAATACTAATGCAATGGTAGGGTGCATTAGAAAGATCGTTATCCACTAGACCCTACACTCATTAGTTGATGAAATCTGGAGGGTCACGTTCAGTTCTAGATAGCATAATAATAATAATGAAAAAGAACCTTGAATGTATCTAAATGGGGGATAAAGATGAAAAAGGCATGGAAACTATCTTATATAAGGGCTGGTTGAAGAAACTAGGTATGTGTAGCCTACAGAAGAAAAGGTTTCCTCATAGGTTCCCAAAGTGGGTGATATGGCCGTCAGGGTGGGCTGCTGGAATGATTGGGGGTTGGGGGCAGTGGAAATATAAGGAAAGAAGAGAAGAGAATTTTGAAAAACTGTTGTACATGTTTCATCTGTTGTGTAACAGAGCTAAAATCATAGTGATTAGATTATTTTCCAAATAAACACACAAAATGCAAGTTATAACTGATTAGCGGTCAAGTCCACTGACAGGTTTTAACAAGCAAGTGTTGGCAGGCGAAGTCCAACATGCATCAACAGGAATACGTGCATGTAATGACTTGTTTATATCATACTATATGGTTAGATGACACAATATTGTGCCATCAAAATTTCAATGGAGGAAAAAACCCACAAATCTACAATAAATAATTCAATTTAAGATGTATCATTTAAAAATTGTATTTTTTGAAATGATGAAATATTTTAAAAAAATAAAGGATTAAAGAAAGTAGATTTCCAGGAAGGCACTGAGAATTTTTTTTTTTTAAAAAGGCAGTGGTAGGCCAAATAAGTTTGGGAACTTCTGATTTAGAGGATAAGTAAAATCCAATTAAAACATTTAAAGGAAAGTCAGGTGGAGGAGGAATCAGATTTACTATAGGACCAGAGTAGAAAGAAAGCAATTTTTAAGAAAAGCATTCATTAAGTACCTACTATATGCCAGGCACTGTGCTAAGCAATATGCAAATATCTCATTTAATCCTTACAACAACCTGGGACATAGGTGCTATTATGATTTCCATTTTACTTTTGAGGATATTGAGGAGGAAAAGAGGTTAAGTGACTTGCCCAGGGTATCCAAGGCTAGATTTGAACTCAGATCTTCCTGACTCCAATCTCAACACTCTATCCACTGGGCCTCTCAGCTGCCTCTATAGAAGCAGATTTTAACCAAACAACTAACCATTAGAGCCATCCAATAATGAAATGGATCATCTCGTGAATTAATGAAGTCCTACATCATCTGATGGTCAGATCCCTTTCCCACAGGTACATACTTTGGGAACAAATCCAAGGAAGAAGCATCTGGTCCCTGGGATCCTGGAGAATGGAAAACACTCCTGAGTGTCTTGGCTTGTCTGTGTGAGGCTAGAAGAATCTGAGGCTAGACAGGCCAACTTACTAAGGTCTGCTGATGAGAACTGACTTCCAGTTACCACTAAGACTCACAACTAAGAGTATATTCTGCTGTCACCAGTGCCTAGTCAGAGCAGGAACAATCAGGTAATATGCATTACCTTTATATATCTTCCACTGCCTAATTCTAGGACTTTGTTTTATGCATTATCCCTCTGTCTTGAATTCTCAATCTTTTTCCCTGTGATTGGTCCTTTTTTGCTTGGCTTGGAAACATGCTCAAGTCATCTTATCCTAAAAAACACTTCATCACTTGATTCTTTAACTTCGAACTCATAACACTTTTTGCACATCTTTTCATGATGTCTTATTTCCTCTATGAATTTATAAGAAGGACTGACTTGTTCTTTGTTTTGCCAACAATGTACATAGTAGGTACTCAGCAAATGTTTATTTGGACAGATGAATTCATTTCAGACATTAGCAATAGGTTGGTAAGGGAAGTTTATTTTTTGTTGGGTGAACAGTTACTTCCTTAAAACCTGGAAACTCCTAAGCCTATAGATAAGCACCTTAACCCCTTTGAGAATAAACGATTGAAGAAAATCAGGACTTAAAAAAATAGATAAATCCACCATCTTACCCACAATAACCCTAACTCTTTTAAATGAAAGTTAGGATTTACAAAAAGAACAAATTAGGGGATGATCATTCACTTAACAAAAGTGTTCATTGGTAGTTTTCTTTAAATACTATGAACTGGTATAGGATTAAAATAAAGTTCAATGAATTAAAATTCAAACTACACACAAACTTATCAGAAATATTTTTTATTATATAAACTGAGATATACCTACTCATCAGCTTGAAATTCCAAACACAGCAATTAATTAACAGTGGCTAACCTTGCCTCTGAGGTATTGCTTTTATTAACAATACAGTGTATATTAAAGGTACTATTTATTGCCTTGTTGGTCTCTGACTCCATTTATAAATCTGGTTAGTATGCAGTCAATAAAAAATGGATCTGAAACAACAAAGGGTTAATAGGGACTCATCCAAACACACTTTCAGTTGAATGGCTGAGTTAAGAGGTACATTTAAAAAGTCCTTCAGTCTCTTCATCAGTCATCATCTCAGGCTTCTACTGCATAATCAAGACACTTCCTTTCTGCCCCCTTAAAATTGTTTGGCTAAGAATTTCCCTGAACTCTGTCACTTCAGATACAATGGGGGATATTTAGGAGGCCATTCAAGGATTAAATCAAAAAAGGTCCACAGCAATGATTCCCCACCTCAAGAGTTTAGCAAAGGGACACAGAGCCTCCACAGCAGGGAAGTGGGATTCAGCAGCAGGCTTTTAACCATTAAATTCCTGAGATTAACCATATTCTCATTAGTTATCATTTTCCTCATTACTACCCCTTTCCCCCAGGTGCTTAAAGAGGCCCCAACAGGCTCTTTTTGGTTTAATGAATTAACTGAAACATCATAGTTAAACTGAGTAGCTATTTCATGCAGCCAAAGGCTTAATTAAATAGAATACTGAATAAGGCTTAATTTTAAGCCAGGTTCAAAAATTAGATTCATAGAAACATTAAGTTGCTTTTATCCCATATATTATTTTTCTAAACAGGTTTGGGGATCATTGTGGCTTACAAAACTACAGTCTTTGTAGGTGCCATTTTTAATTAAGTAAATCAAAATAGAACAAAAACAGTAACTTCATTTATATAACAACAGCAACATTACATAGCACTTTAAGGTTTGGAAAGAACTTTCCTCACAAGAAGTCTGTTGAGGTAGTGTGGAAGAGTGGAGTGGAACCTTTTGGACTTGGAGTCAGGAAGACTTTGACTCAAATCCTACCTTAGACATTTACTAGCTGTGTGACCTTAGGCAAATCATTTAAACACTCTGTTTCAGTTTCTTCATGTGAAAAAATGAGAGATTTGGACTTGATAGCCTCTAAGTCCCTTCCCACTCTAACTCTATGGTCTTAGGTAGGTAGTACAAGCATTATTGTGCCCATTTTACAGGTGAAGAAAGTGGGGCTCTGAGAGAGTTAAATAATATCTGATACTACACAGCCAATAATGTATCTAAATACATGATTCAAAACATGCCATCTGACTCTACGACTGGCACTTTTCCCACTATACTTCAGATCAATCATTTTCCTTTCTAGTCATTTATTTCTAAATTCTAATATGCTATTATACTTCCAACCCTCCAAAAGAAGAAAAAAAATTATAAACCAAATAACATACTAGGTACAGAAGTCCATGACAATTTTTAGTCCAAAAAGTCATGGCTGAACAAACATTCACACACAAACACCATCAGCAGCCTCATGCTGCCCTCATTTTTTTTTTTACACAGCTAATGATATCTGTTCTAAAATAATTCTACAGGCTGAACGTTATCTGCTGCTACTCATGAGTAATTCCTACCAACGTCTGTGGAAGTTGTGTGGGTGTTTGACAGAAGAATTTGGGCCAAAGTGTTTTTTTCCAACTTCGAATTAAACTAAAAAGTTAAGGTCACCCATGGAACCATTTTATTAATTGTTGTGTCATATCTTCTCTCACTAAACAAAGGCAGTCTAAAATTAATCCATTTCACCCCCTACTTATTCAGCTGCCCAGTAGTGGGAGAATTAATAAAAGGCCAAACCTAGCTAGTGCCTTGGGCCCAGTGTTGAATGTCAACAGGGGCCATATCTAAAGTTAAGTTGATGACAATAATGATGTTAACACTTGCCACCAAATATTTATCAAGTACTTTTCCTTAAATGAATTGAAATGACAAAATATTGGCTATTGTTTAGGTAGCACAAATATGTGTTTAATATTTGCCTCTATGGATGAAATCTTCCCATGTATCCTCTCTAATAACAATTTTGTCCTTTTGAAAGTGACAGCCCCAATGATTTAGTTTAATTGCTTGCTTTTTCTCACAAACATTGGATGTTCCAAGCCCTGACTCATCTCCCTATATTTCACATTCTCCTTTTTTAAAAAACTGAACCAAAACTCATAGATCCCATCAAGTGGCAAACATTTTAGGGAGAGTTAGGCTTACTCACCTTCCAGCAGGTCTCTTGCCAGACCTGGTTCTGCCCCTGTGGACCGAACAAAGTCTGACAGGACTGCGTCCATATCAAGAGTCATGTGATCATGTAGAAGTGCTGCCCAACACTCAGCAGAGGTGGGGTTCAAGAGCAGACTAGAAGCCATCCATCTGTAGGGAAAAAAGAAAGAAGGAATCTTACCTATTGATAGCACATTATAGTACTAAATAGAAAACACGAATGGTCAGTAGTCAACCATTTCTCTTGGACACCATTTTTATGTAGCTGACTTAGGTGACATCCACCTTGCTCGAAATGGAATACATTTTCAACATTTAAGACTAACACATAATTACTGTTGTGAATGTTGGCTAGTTCCCTTCCCCCATTCAGCAAGAGCTTGGCAAGGGTAACTGCCAAATATGACCTGACTGTGCCTAACATTTGTGAGCAGCAGTTCATAGAACAATCAAATACTGAAAAACAGAAATGACATTTCATAACCACAGGGGATTCTCTAAACCAAGCATTTATGCAAGTGAATTAGGAATAACTAGCATGTTTTTCTGTCTCCCCAAATTATGCTGGAACCATCTGTCACTGAAGCACATACATAACACACACTCATATTTTGCATTGTGTGGTTAAATTACATCCCAATACAGATACAGTTAGTCCCTAGTACATGGGTTTTGTTCCAAAAATACATTAATAAGGCATTTGCTAGGAACTCTGAAGGCATTTTAAAAAAATAATGTTATATGTGATTATTAGGTTCTTTGGTCAGCCAATAGAGGCCATTTTTAAAATTCAGTTCTATACTAATGGTCACAATATTTTTTAATGGGATGATGCATTCTAATTTATAACTTTAGACAATAAGAACTCATCTCTCTCCATAATCCCATCCACCAACGGGATTTGAGACTCCCAAACTCTATTCCTTTTCAACCTGACAAGTTATAGGTTCCCAGCTCCAAAGCCTTACCCTCTGTGGTTTGGGATTAAGACTTCAGCAAGTTCTGGTGGGGGCAGAGAGGAGAAGAGAAAGAAGGGAAGCTGGTGGGAGGCAAGTTGTAAGGAGAATAGGTATGAAACAGTGGGAAGCTAGAATTCTATTACTAGAAGGCATTCTATTTGTAACCTGGGTGCTTAGCATAGTGTGTTGCACGTAGTGAATGCTTAAGAAATGCTTTTTCATTCATGTATTCACACATTCATTCATTCACACATTCAATCACTCATTCAATATAAAATATGAGTCTCCAAGTAACACTTTCCTGGCCCCAAAGATTCCCTTGCTTGTTTCTCTTTCCCTACTACCACCTACTGCTTCTAATCATGATTTCCCTCATTACCTAGCCCATCATGGAAGAGACAGGGAGAAGAGTCCGTGGTTTCTTTAGTAGAGGAAACTCTTACTTTTATAAGTTTGCATCTTTTATGCAACTTGCAGTTTTAAGAAGCTGACTAATATTTAGAAGTTCAGTCAATTTCTCAGGGAAACAGAGCCCATATGTGTCAAATGAAGAGCTTGTGCCCATATCTTTCTAGTTTCTTGGTCAGTTCTCTATCCAGTATACCATTCCTTCCTCTCACTATGGGTTAGATATTAGAATAAGATAAAATATAGCTCTTTTAAGGTTTCCTAAAGGTTGCTGTTAGCAGCAGTCAAGAGACAAAATAGGGAATAAAATCCACCCTCCTATGACTCAGATCTCCCCAATTCCCTTATCTCCCCTCTTATTTAGACTTTAGGGGAAAAGATAAAGTCTCACATAAGTGACAATGGTGAGCCTTTATGCACAAGAGAGACTTACAAAATTTATTTCAGGAATTAAGGAGTTAGACTTCCTAGAATACTTTAGAGATCACTTAATCCAACCTAATTTTAAACAGAAGGAAACCAAAGCCCAGAAAAGTTAAAGTGATTTGTCTAAGGTCATTGTTGTTGTTGTTCACTCTTCATTCTCTCTTTTTTAAAATTTTATTAATCTATTTTGATTTATCAATAATCACTTCCATATGCTTTTGAGTTTAAAATTTTTCTCTCCCTTCCTCCCTACCACCCTCCCCAAGACGATGCACAATCTGATATAGGCTATACATTTACATTCCTATTAAACATATTTTCACATTAGTGGTGTTGTAAGTAAAAATTAAAACCAATAGGAGGAACCATCAGAAAGAGGAAACAAAAGTCAACAGAAGAGAAAAAAATAGCAATTCAACTTTCATAGTTCTTTCTTTTCATTTTCCATCATGAGGCCTCTGGAGATGTCTTAGATCCTTGTATTGCTGGGAAGGGTTAAGTTTATCAATATTAGTCATCGTATAACGTGGCTGTTATTGTGTACAATGCTCTCTTGGTTCTGCTCATTTCACTCAGCATCAGACCATACAAGTCTTTCCAGGTTTTTCTTCAGCTTGTTCATCATTTCTTATAGCACAATAGTATTATTCCATTACATTCATATACCACAACTTGCTCAGCCATTCCCCAATTGATGGGCATCCTCTCAATTTCCAATTCTTTGCCACCACAAAAAGAGCTGCTATGAATATTTTTGTACATGTGGGTCCTTTTCCCATTTGTATGATCTCTTTGGGATATAGCCCTAGAAGTGCTATTGCTGGGTTTCACCCTTCATTCTCAAAGAGGACTGATGACATCACAAGGATGAAGTTTTGACTTGTACTTCAATTGATATATAAGTGAGATAGAGCTGGGCAAAGTCATCAGCCTCACTCTCTCCTCCAGTCACCAAAGTTCAGGGATAAGGCAAAGATCAAGATGACTGGTGGTGGCTCAGGATGCAGTGGGTGACCATGGCCTTTCTAAATTAAAGTCTTTCCCAGGTATCAGCTTGTCTGAGTCCAGGTCCATTCATAAAAGGTACTAGGTATTGTGATGGAGCTGACTCTATCCCTTTCTCTCTAAGAAAAAAAAGTAAAACAACCAAAAATACTGTAGTATCTAAACTTGATGTATCATAAATTGACTGCAGCAACCACCCCTACACTGGTTTCCCTTCTCAGTGTATTATTCATTAACCAGCTTTTCTTTCTAACAGCCAAAGTCATTTTTTTCAGAACACCCATGCTGATCGTAACACAAAATCTCAGAGTGAGAAGGTACTGGGACTCAGGTCATACAAGTAGAAAGCAGTGGATAAAAGATTCAAACACAAATATTATGACATGAAGGTCTATGAAATTTTTAGGAGGTGAAAAAGAATCCTCAAATTTAGAAGTGTGGGAACTACTTAACTAGGTCATTGCTGTTAAACTAGGAACCTAAATCTATTGCCCAGAAGTCACCAGCTACTTAGTTTTAAAGAAACTCTTCCAAGTAGATAAAATTTGTGATAGGTTTAATACTCAAAGTTCAGGGTTGCTTACTGAACTTAGTGAACCATGTCATTCCCAGACTCTCCAATCAACGTTGAGGAAATCAGATTTTATTGAATAGAATGCTATGATTGTTGAGCCTCACTATAGGCTATTTGTACCATGAAGTTGCATAGAAAAACAGCAAACATACCACTACGTGACAATGACTTGTGGCCTGGGAACCATAGCCACAATGACCAAAGGAACCTCAGTTTTGGCTGACATACAAATGTATTCTTGCTTTAAAAAAAAATACAGCTAATGGAAGCTTCTATATCAGCAAGGATGCTATTAAACCCCAAGCTAGGGAAGTATTTAAGTCTGAAAAAATTCTTGAATAATTCACATTCTTTCCTTTGCATCGTATATAAAGAAACATGTTTGTTGATAAAGAAAACAGATTCTTTCCTTTGCTATATACTTAGTCTCCTGCCACAAAAAAACAAAAACACTTTTAACAAGTTATATACTGCAGCTTAGAACAAAAATCATGATGCTCCAGCTCTTATTGAAATCTACTGGCGCACTTATTTTCACAGTGGTATAGGATTGAAAAAGAAAGCCATTCTCAAGATTTCATGGGCTAAACAGGTAATTTAGCCACAGAAATCATGCTTTAATTCAAAGTCCATTCTGAACATTGTAGAGAGTAAAGATGTAAGGGAAGTCCCAAAAGACATGACCAGTTAAAAGAACTAATTTATGAATAAACCATGGCCTAAATATACGAGTAAGTGCTGACTCTGAAGTAGCTCCCTTGGCAGATCAGACACCTAATCTAATGCTGCTGCTGCTTTTCAGTCTTGGAAACCTGTGGTACCTTTTTTGGCTATCCTCAATAGTCCTAAACCTTCATCCTTAACAGAGGGTTTGACTTCTTGAAAAAGATGAGGGATTAGGGGTTGTTTATTGATTAAAGTTGGTGAACAAAAAGGGCAAAATTGTTGGGGTGGGGCAATCATTAACTTCAACAGGCTGGTTTTCTCAAGTGTCTCAAACCGGTGCTGAAATCAGTCTCTGAAGAGAAGTTAAATGTTTTTAAGAAATGGAGGTAACGTGGAAACACACTTATAGCTCCACAAGGTAACAATATTAAAAGAAATATTCCCGGAGGTGCAAGTTTGTTTCTTTTTAATATTTTCTTACTTTAATAGTCACATTCTGCATTTACACTGATCCTAAAAGGGCATATTTTTCTTACAAGTTCAGTTCAATTCAATACTGTGGGAGGTACTGGGAATGCAAAGATGACAAATTGCATAGATCATCACAATAGATACTTTTAAAAAATTATTTGCTCTGATAAATAATTATAAAGTCTTTCTTCCCAACCATGCTATGTAACATAAGCAGCTGACAGGAAAGAAATTGAAAGAGAAGAAGACAAATTGCTTTTGTAAAAGAATAAATTGTGGCAAAGCAAAAAGAAGAGATGGCTTTGGAGTTGGGAAGACTTCGGTTCACATCCTCACATATACTTCCTATGTGACTGGACAGCTGTTCAATACTCCCAGCAGCCCTAAGGTTGTAAGCTAAAGAATAGCTGTCAATTGATATTGGTGGCAGAAGTTTCCACACCAAGACCAAAAAGAAAAAGAAATAAAACCTTACTCTAACCTTGTAGAGGTCATTACTAAAGCTTTTGTCATTTCCTTTGCTAATAATGCATTTGTACAATGGGGGGTGGAGGGAGGGAAGAGGGTGTAGAATGATTGTTTCTCAAAATATTTCCTTCCTGGTGTCTTAATGGTCTCCAAACTTAACCTCAAGGGATTAT